GACCACTCCCCACACCGTGGGGCGAGTGATCATTGGATCCAAGAATCATGTGCCCTGAGCAAGCGCAGTGAGCTAAGAATGGCAGCCTTCTGCATTTGTCCGGCTAAGATTTCTGCCTTACTGCGGCAAGCCGGTATGATTTTAAGATTTGAGAGTAGAGAGGTCATCATTCCACCAAGAACTCCAATAATAATCAGAACAACCATCTTGACAAAATGGTCTGGATAGAGTCTGCGGAGTTCAAAGAGAAAATCTCTATATTTTATCCGTTTTTCCTCTTCTTTTCGGACGATATTCGTCTCACCAGGACCTGAAAACTCCACGAAAAATATCGTTTTGCTCTGGTGGTCGAGAAGGACTACATCAGGCTCATTGCTTGTATGAACCTGAGGGTGGGGAACAAATAGTTCAGCACTTCTCATTCCCCACAACTGATTCAATATCCCCCGGAGCGTAGGGCAACACCGGTGTCTTATTATATTGATTGAGATAGGCCGAAACCGCATATGCTGAACTTACCTATAGCAAGGGCATAACTCGCGGCAGGCCCTGCACCTTGTGTCAGGAACCTCTATACCCATCACGCGACTGCGGTAGACTAAGGTGCTTAGTTTAACTTATGCATTGAACTTTAAGTTTGATGTATCAGTTTGAAAATGTTTTTATATAACAAAACTGCGGTGACGTGAGTTAAAAATAAAAGTGGTTAAAAGCAAAGAAAGTTTCAGTTCTAAAGTTAAAAATAAAAGTGGTTAAAAGCAAAGAAAGAAAGTTTCAGTTCTATTTTCTTCATTAATATAATAATAATATAATCATTCCTTTCACTTATGAATGAAAACAGAATGAAGAGTTATACTCAAGCACTGTCAAATATATATTTTTTGTAGCAGTTACATCTATATGAAAATAATATGAAGTTTGAAATAAGTGAACGACGAATAGTAACGATCTTGGGAACAACGCATCATTTGCACTGTCCCGAAATTAACAGACTTTTATTTTTGGATTCGATTTCATAACGCTTCAGACACGTGGCTGAGTTTAACTATTCAATTTGGCAACAGAGGGTTTGGTGTTCAATTAAATATATATACAGTGCGGTCCATAAGTTATGGTTTGATACATTTTTGTGGTACTTACAATTTTTGAAGTACAACGATTTTTATTCATGAAATGACACTTCTTGTATGCCCATATCAATTGATGATATAATTAGTTTTCTTCAATAATCTGATGCTTTGAAGCTATAAAATGTGGTTTTTCATTCGAAAATAAAAATAATAATACCCCTCTTGACAACTTTGGAGAATAGCTGCCTCTCCAAGGGTTCTGAGGTGGTGGATGGCATTTTCATACCAACAACATCTGACATTCTCATGCTAGGTGGCATGTTCATATTTTACAATGATTTTACATATTTTACAGATGATGTGGTGCTGCAGGTTTTTCCAGGTTTTCCTGCGCCACTGGAATCAATGAAGTCGCCCTGGAGCGCCAATTAATTTTTTTGTTGTTTTATATGTACTGAATCAAAATATCCAGGAAGTGATAAGACTTGATATGTTTTAATATGTTTTTCCGTTAACCAGCTGTCGCACCCCTACGAACGACAACTCTCAGAAGTAGGATTTTGTGCGAGCTAAGGACTAACGAGGTCTTACCTTTTAACGTGTGATGCCTAACACGTGATGAACGAAAATTAAGTTTTGAAACAATAATTTGAAGAGAATGAAAACAACAAAATCTGATGGTTCGTTGGTATCTCGCAAGGTGTTGAACTCTCAAATACTATTGAGACTTAGTTCTGCCTATGCTTTTACAATGTAATTCATCTAGTTCTGCAATCTATTTGGCTTTTGATGAATGTTGAATAAAACTCTTCAATAATCTAGAAAGAGAGAATGTACTGAAACATCAGTTTAAAGTTTGTTCTAATCAGTATTGTAAAATGTTAGACAAACGTTCATTTTGAAGAAGAAATTCTGGAGCATCATCAAACAAAAAAGTGGATAAAATGTAAGGAAACCCCGTTTTACTGAATAATTTGAAATATCATTTTTTCGAGACATCACTTCATACCCATTTGTTGTGTTTATACGTAATGTAGTTATGATGCACTATTTGGAACCTTTGGTATAGTAATGAATATTACTGGAGTTTTTTCCCAACACCAAATCGTTATTTTTAACTTCGACTTTTTTTCCTAGGATTCGGCTAAGGTATGTGGATGATATTTTCGCAATATTCGATACCAAAAAATCAAATATTGAGGACTTTGTTTCCATTTTAAATAATAGATGTCCATCAATAAAATTCACATATGAGTTAGAAAATAAGGGACAACTACCATTTCTTGACGTTTTGGTAATGAAGAGCCAATATGGAGGGTTAGAATACGATATATTTAGGAAAGAAACAAGCACGTACAGGTATATTCCTGACAGTTCACATCACTGTGGACAGCACAAACGTGCTGGGTTGAATTTTTTAGTGCATCATTTTTTGACTCTCCCTCTAACACATGATAGTTTCACAAAAGGAAGACGTACAATACATGAAATAGCAGCCACTAACGGTTTCTCGAGGTGTATTGTAGATGACATAATAAGGAAGAAGAAGTTTAGGTTAGGAATGAACGAAATCTCGACTTTCAGAAAGGACAAAAACCAAGATAAATACATCTCAGTTCCATACCACCAATATACGAAGAACTTTGGAAAGATTTTCAAGGAACTAGGTATGAAGGTGGTTTTTAAAACAAGTCATACACTACAGAGCCTTTTGGGAAGTCCAAAAGACAAAGTCGAGAATTCGGAAAAGTCTGGAATTTACGAAATTGAATGTAAGGACTGCGATGCAAAATATTATGGACAGACAAAAAGATCTAGTGAAGTAAGATATAAGGAACACATAGCACACTTAAAATATGGAAGACTTGAAAAAAAATCAGCAGTCGCCTATCATATTTTGCAACAAAACCTTTCCATAGACTTCAGTTCATTAAGATTAGTTGGACAAGTTAACAACAACAGGCAACTAGATGCCTATGAGAGTGTAGAAATGAGTAAATACAAGAATATTATGAATAACGATGACGGACCTATACCAAAGAGCATACTATATAGCTTGTTAAAATAAAATAATGTTGTTGGATTTACTGATTACTACATAAGGACACATTGCAAAAATAGATTTAGATAGGCAATATTGTAAAATTAATTTTTATATAGCTGAAAATTGATTTATATACAGCTATAACAGTTAAACATATATTGTGAAATAATAGATAAGGCAAAATTGTAAAATTAATTTAGGTTGGTATATCTGTATGGATGGTACACCTAGATGGTTTACCTGTATGGGATATCTATATAGCATAAATAGCGTTAGCTCCGCTTTGGTTTCTAATTTAATCTTCCTCTTTGAAGACGATCACTTGGTGATCGAAACACGTGTCGAAGTGTTGGGAAAAAAATCCGGTAATATTCATATACGTAATGAGTACTGAGTGTATTTGGTGTAACTGTGTAGCTGTAATTCTTGCAGCGTTGCAATTTATCTGAATTTTCGTTTTTGATAAATGACATAACACTCTAATAATGATAATGTATTGAAAGCTCACTGTGTAGTTTTTAGCAATCACTACTATGAAAAAAACATTCATATGCAGGAAGTAATGAAGCCAATAAAAAATGTAGAAAAGAAAATTTGAGTAACCCAAAACAAAAAATCGAGATTTCAGCTCATAAATGTTTTTTGAGTTCACTACATTCTGTCTGGATTGCATTGAAAGTTAACTTCGTTTGTAGTTTCCTGCAATCTGTACCATAAACAACCGTTCATATGCAGGAAGTAATCAAGTTTTCCAAACTCGATTTTGTATGTATCTTTTGTATTTATTATATACGATTTGTATTCTGAGAGTATTTGGCGTTGCAAAGAAGGAAAATGTATTAGAAGCTCGCTCAGTTTGTATTTATTTGCAATAAGAACTATAGAAAAACGTTTATAATATGTAGAAAGTGATATGCAGGAAGTGACGAGAAATACAAATGAAAAAATTTGCAACATCATCAAAAGTACAAATATATAAGACGTAACTTAGGCTCATTTTTCTGAAGAATCCAAAACGAATAATAAGTTTTCCAAACTTGATTTTGTATGTATTTTTTGTATTTATTATATACGATTTGTATATACGATAGCTGAAATTTATCCAGCGTTGCAAAAACGGAGAATGTATTGAAATCTTGCTCAGTTTGTATTTAATTGCAATAAGAACTATAGAAGAACGTTTATATGTAGGAAGTGATATACAGGAAGTAATGAAGTAAATAAAAACGTAATAAAACGTAATTTAGGCTCGCTTTTCTGAAAGATTCAAAACGAATAACTAGTTTTCCAAACTTGATTTTGTACGTATTTTTTGAATTTATTATATACGATATGGATACTGAGGGTTTCTGGCGTACCGGCTTAGCTGAAATTTATCCAGCTTTGCAAGCTCGCTTGGTTCGTAATTTTTTTGCAATAAGTTACTATATGATGAAAGTTTATATGTAGTGATGAAACTTATGGAAAATAATAAGATATGAGTTTTGAAACATTTTCTGAGTAAAAAACTGATTTTTTTTATTTCAAAACTTTTGTTTGTACGTGTTATTTGTATCATTGAACTGAGGCTGTTTGGATTTGTATTTACTGAATACATCTTGTATACTCAGAGTTGATCGAATAGCTGACCAGTGGAAATTCACGATCTATCCATGATTCGATTGTATCTCTGTTTCGAGCAAGCATTTGACAGGGGTGGGGGCACACAACTTCGCACCAGACCAAGCCAATGGACTACAAGGGTGTATTATCCTGAGACCAACCACCCGGCCGCGAGCCGGACAGCGAGCAGTATACAGAACATAATAACACTCATGTTAATCATGTTAATTACATATCACGCATGACGGCGTGGGGGGAGAGGGTAGGATAGCAGCGGTAGGCACCTGTCCCGAGGACGGCGTCTGCAGATATGAAGAAACATCGGGTTCCACCATGCAGCTGCGCAGCGTATCTGGGATGAACATTCCTCAGAGTCACGTCACCGTCACCGGCTGGCGGTGGCCTGTATGCGGTGTCCCATCACTAGGAGTTGGCGGCTGGGGGCGGCCACTGTTCCACTCTCCACGGTCACTGAGGCACCTCCACCACACCGCACTCTTCCACGAATTCACCAGGAAGTTGTCCGCTGCAAAGTAACTAAGCCCGAAAGACAAACGCACGGCTACACTGAGATTATACGCGAGGATCACTATTAATAAATACGAACGGGACGATGCGCGTCGCCAGCGCCACGACGCAGGTATTTATATATTGCTTCTTCGCTGAGATCTAGTCTCTTGAGGTCCGCGATGGTGGTGTACACTCGGTAGCGAAGTCATGTTGTTGTGTACCTCGCTACCATGTGTTCATTTCCTCCTTTTCGAGTGCCCATGCGTCGACGCCAACTGCGAATTTTCAGCTCCCAGACGATTTTCCTAACGATCGCCGCTCCGCTCCGTCCCCCCCTCCGCTTTGCAATTGCACCACCACAGATTTACGGCGACTTCTACGCGCCGTTGCCAACGTACGAATGGATTATTTCGGCAATAGAGTAAAACGTAATTTGGCTGGTTTTTTTGATAGTTCACTCTTCCATAATCTGAATGAAAAAGTTGAGAAAAAATCCATAGTCAGTCAAGGTGTACCCGAAGTCACTAAAAACTGAACGATACTCAAAGATGGAAGCTAAACCAGACGGTGCTCCCCAGGGTTCAATATAAGGACCTTTAGAGTTTCCGTTATATGTAACAATATTTCTAAACTAAATATATCTAGGAAGTTCAAGTTATTTGCAAATGACACTACTGTTTGTCGATCCAACTTATATACATTTTCTTTGTACAGTAAAATATAACTAATAATTGAAATAATAAGAACTCAATGTGGCAGTAATTTACTTGTATTCGAAACAAAAGCAATATGTTGAACTTTAGGTGTGAGTTATAAATCATGAAGCTAGCGAAAAATGAAATTGAAAATTCTCCCTGTACGAAATTATTAGTCTACATATTGACTACAGTTTGAAATTCAACGAACACATCAGTGTACTGATGAAAAAATATCTTCTTGAAGCTATCTGAACAATTGTGTTATGCATAGGGTATTTTATTGAGCGCCTCCATTCTTTAAATTCGAATGAAACAGATTGTATGTAAGATATAATCAAAAATTTTCATTCTCTTGTGCATAAATCTGTCTGAATTTGACAGATGACATAGGTTATGTTGGCTTTGAGGACCGCTGGGTTTTGTGATTTGTTCGCATACACCAGCGACTTGAAGAAACCTCACAAAAAAAAAGTCTAGCAGGATTAAATCGCACGATTTCGGTGGCCAGTTTATATCATCGCCACGTGAAATGACCATGCCCTCGAGTCCCTCGGGTAGAATATCCAATGTGGTACGTAGCGCCGTCCTGTTGGAACCACATGTCGTTGGTGTCCAGATAATGCAATTCAGGTCAAAAGAAGTTGGTAATCATCGACTCGTCATTGACAGTGATGGCCTAACCAACGTCGTTCGCAAATAAATATGGATCGATGACGCCGCCAGCCCCAAACAGTGACTTTTTCGGGATGCTTTGGATGCTCTTGGATCTCATGTGGATTGGTATCGTCCTGAATTCGACAATTTTGTTTGTTCACGTACCCATGTACGTTTGTACATGTATGTTTTCGTCATATCTTGCGTTTCGTCGACGTACGGGTGTTAGTCGATCTCCATACTATTCATTAATTAAATCTACATAGATTGTGCAATTGCTTTTTAGTTTGAATGCATTACTCGTTTGATGAAGGGAAGTCGTTTGATGAAGAGGAGAAGAGGGTTGTGCGATCATGTGTATCGCTATACAATAGCTACCTTGAGTGTTTCCATCTGATACAGAAATACCATAACTGGTATGACTTATTGTCATCGTTTTCCCAAAATGGCTTCTTGCGTTACCTATAACAAAAAGTAATGTGTATAAAAAATGTCCGAGATAAGGAGGAAAAAGAAAAATGGAATTCATTCAAATGAGGTTCAGAAATTTGGGGAGCCTTGTCAAAGAATACAAAGTCCATAGAAGCTTAGAAGTGGCTATAATTTTTAGTATTTACCCTGAATACCAGAGGGCGATGTTAGTATTTGTTGTGAATACCAACAGAAGTAGGTAGCAGTCGCTACCTACTTCGATATGAGCCGGCCGACTAGTTGTCAGCAACTGCTAACTACCCAATTTTGTTGATACATTAAATACTGACATCTAACCTCTAGTGGTCAGGATAAATACTAAAAATTATAGGTGACACGAAAATGCCACTTCTGAGCTTCTATGGGCTTTGTATTCTTTGGATTGAGATTTCTGTTGACCCCATAGATGGCGTGCTCAGAAGAAGTCGTCATCGCCTCTACTTACTCATGCATGTCCTTCAAGGATAATGTAGTCAGCACTACATTTGTGGTTCAGTCTAGCACCACTGATGAGACCTGTGACGGGTCGAAACAGTTCTGTCTGGTATTGAATCACGAATGCGTTGTTTTGGGCTCAAGTCTCAATCAGTAAAAGTGTTGCAAAAATTCCTAATTCATACCGTCTGATTTTTTTTTTCGGTTCATATACGAAAATAAATCAGTACCGGTTTCTCGTACTAAACACCAGACTAAAGATCTGTAAACGTCGACTTGTACAGCTTGAGAAATAGCAACGATAAAGTTTTTCTGTAGTATCTAATATTTTCTTCAATAACGCCATAAAAATCAGACGATAATTGGCGAATTTCGGTTCCTTTCGAAATCCTGCGGAGAAAATCGCAATATCCTCAATTTCAAAACGTCATTTGAATATTCTTTGTGATGGGCAACTATTTCTTATCCAATCGACTTGGACACAAGATTGTTACGGAGTAAAAATATAGAACTGCGCCTGTTATCACGAATCGAAAAAAAAGGGATTATAATGAATATGAGTGATGAAGTTCAATAGCTTAGATGATTTTTCGAATATTTCCCTCTCTATCGATATTGGGACTCAAGTTACATCATGTAATGTAATGTAGAACCGTTTTCGTTTTCGTTGGATTTCCATCCAAATCTACAAGTTTAGACCAATTCTATTATTCACTTATTTCCTTTATAACATAAATATCTCCTGGTTATCGAGTTCAACGGTGGAGTAATGTGTATTTGAATCTTCTTGATGAAAACTGGAGTCCTAATTTGAATTACAGTAAAGGTTTAAACTGTTGAGCAGTACCTTATGAATGGCTAGCTCTGAGGACCACAATCCTCAAAATCGATCTAAACCATAACAGAAAATGGTTTAATTAGAAACATAAACGGTATTTTAATGATATTAATGACAAAACATACGAAAAAACGTTTATGATGTAAGAAAAAGAAACTGCTTCTGAAACAGGTGGCTCGAAACAGTGCTGGATACTATCCATTTGGAGGATAACAGAACTAAATAACGAATATCTTGTATGGGTAATGCAAGAAAGAACAGAGAGAGAGCTCGTTCAATGCAAATGATAAGCAATTTATGAATAATCCAAATTATCTACAAGTATAGAAAACCATGACGGTCATTCAACGTATAAAAACTAATACAGGGAACAAGAGTGTTAAAAAGGAAGAATATGTGATAAACTCATGAGTCTAAGGCTTTCAAGGAGTTTGAAGTTGCTAGATTTCAGCTGAATGATATTAGACCCAATCACAAATAATTTCTATAGACTGGAACATCGAAGAGAGGTTGAGAATTGGACTACTTTCTGTAAATAATTCCAGGTATTCATGCATAAGTTTTGTCTACAACTACAATTAAAGACACAGTTGTCTCCAATCACGATCAAAGTGGAAAATGAGAGGGACTGAGAGTCAATTGATTTTTCCGAGTTTGTTGTTTGGCAGAAGTATGTTTCAAATTACAAAAGTTAGACCCGCCAAGCTTCGAATAAATACATCAGGGGCTACACTGTTCAGTGAATCTTTGATTGTGCGGACGGACTGAAATTTCAGACATGGATTTTCATCGAGATTGAAGTGTAAAGGACCGTCGAAACAAATTTTGGGAAGTCTGCAGTCCTCCATTACTATCTATATTGACAGTCAGTTCACCCTTCATCATATGGTCTAGGTTAACAATCGCTATTTTTGCACAGGCATTTCATAATTTCTGTCACAGTCCAGGAAATTTAACAGAAACTATAGGAACTATCTTCTTAAAAACTGATATCAAGTAATATCATCTTCAATAAATACACACAGAACACATCAATTATTACGTTGTTAGGCCGATCTCTTTCAGTATGAATAGTAATAAAATTCATTCACATATTCCGATTACAAATGAGAATACAAATTGCAAAATGGGAGTTTGTTGAATTGTTTTTGCTATGAAATTTATTATACGTGAAATATAATTGTTTTATCACCAAGATTTTTGATGAGGAATAGAAATGATCGATAGAATATCTATTACTTTTTGGAATCTTCATTGAACCACTTCCAAAAGATTCAAATATGTTTCCAGAATTTATATAATATAGTTCTCATCAGTTTGTTAACTACACATGCAATGTGAGTATCCCAATTCAACTGATTAGCAAATACTGGATACTTTATTTCATTCATTGATGGGGTTGAAATGTTTTCCGTTTCAATATTCATACACAAGAGGTTGAATTTTGGTGGTCCTGAAGAGTGGAAGATGAAAAATGGTGAGTCATTTTTGGCAATTGCAAGAAGCTCATAATCAAACAATTTCTTCATTAAGCAAAAATTGGACTCCACATCAACTTTCGATTTTTTCCAACTACCACATTTTTCAGAATATAGCAGTAGCATCGGAAAATGCAATCAACAGCCCGTTGATGTATATATTGAATAATATGAGTCTTCCAGTGACTGCAGAAGAAGGTCATGGCTAACGGCATCAAAAGCTATCAACAAGCCAACAAATAGTCAACAAAGGAAAGTAGTTTGGTTTCTTTTATTTTTGTTAATATTTTGGAGAGATGTGTAATTAAAAAATTTGGCTGGTAATTGTTCATTTTCTGAATATTTCCTATCTTGTGTATTGAGATCATCACTGAGTTTTTGAAAGCTGATGGAAATGCTTTATATAGCAGGACATTACTTTGATGATTTCTGATTTCACATTTCTTTTTCAGTTCACCTCTTGTATTCTGTAGTTCTACTACATCTATCAATGTGAGCATTACATAATTCGACATGGTTAATTTTCCATTACAGATTCCAAATGGTTGTATCTGCATCTCTGTAGAGTAGAAAGGGACAGGTTACTAAGAGACATCTCCTTTATATCGGCAGGTGTAGGCCAAGACTCGCTAAACACACACTCTCTTATTGACGATAACTCCGGGCACTCGCACAGGACATGCCT